GTGGGGGCAGGCGGGGGAGGCGGCATGAAGACGACCCGAGGGGCCGGGGGACGGCGCGGATTTACCTACGGAGCCGGAGAGCGATGAAGACGAGGAGGACGTGGAGGACATGAGGGTGTTGACTGCAGCCAGGGGGTCCATGTCAGGGGGACGGGGGGGGGGAGCGTGCCCGGTCGAGCTGCCGTGGTGACCCCCCAGGCCTGGAGGACCCTTCTGGAAAGACAGGATCTTCTGCTCCAGGGTGGTGAACTGCAGCACCCTCCGGGGGTCGTACTTCGACAGGAAGCCACGCAGCGTGTCCCAGCCCCCGCCCACACGCACCATCACGTGTTTACCGTGGAGCATCTGAGGACGGGAACCGACCAATCAGTGACCAGGTCTGTGGTTAACCGGTTAACAAACCTCAGGGGTGTGGAGTACGTGTGTAACGGTCTCACCCTGATGAAGATGGTCTTGTCTCCGAGCCTGTAACGTCCCTCAGACAGGTAGTCTATAGACACTCTGTTTGAACAGTCACAGGGGGGGTCGTCAACACCGGGCTCCTGGGAAGACAAAAAAAAAGATTTAAAGATTCTGTTGAACACACGTGTGTGTGTGTTTGTGTGTGTGTGTGTGTGTGTGTTCAGTTGTATAACAGTGGGTCACGGTGCAGGACGTCACATGGTCAAAGACCCTCTGGGCGTCAGTGAAGCGGCAAAAAGAACCGCCTACCACCTCAACTGGGTCAGCACACGTGCTGCTGAACATGAGGCAAACAGTACCAACAGATTACACTAGGGTGGAGGGGGGGGGGGGGGTCGATGGAGAGAGCATTAGATCAGACTTCCTCTAAATATAAATAATATTTTTTATTTTTTTGTTTTATATTTACAAATGTAACATCTGCAGCTCCTGGACCAGCTGACCACCTCGTACACTAGTACCGATTCTTCTGACTGTTTGGACGGCCGTTGCCATGGCAACAGACCTGAACTATCAGCCCTGGTCTGGTGCTGTTCTCACCCCAGACTGGTACAGACCACCGTGTTGGCAGCACACACTGAAGGTCTTCACAGCCGGGGGGGTCTTCTCCGTCAGCAGACGAGTCTCCTCCAGTTCAATCTCCTTCTCCAGTTTGACCAACAGGGGGGGCTCCACACCATACCTGGTACACACACACACACACACACACAGGGTGTTAATGTGTGAGAGCTGTTGTTAACAGTCGGTGAAACGGTGTCTTTGTCTGGTGTTGTCACTCAGACTCACTTGGAGACGATCCGACCGATCTCCAGCAGACACAGACAGACCTGACGAGGTTCTCTGTGAAGAACTGGAGCAGGAGACACATCAAATATTGGGAGGAGGGGGAGGGGGGGGAAAAGGAGGGGGAGGAGGAGGAACAGGAGGAGGAGGAGGAGGAGGAACAGGAGGAGGAGGTTCACACACAGTCTAATACTGAAACACTAAAGTCCTGTGTTTATCCTGTAGTACAACAGCAGCACCACCAGGGGGCTGCTCTTTCTTGGGTCTGTTTAATAAGTGGCTACAGGAGCGAAGTCAGACTCAGACTGGATGAGACGTCACTGACCTCACCTCTGGTTCTGGTTCTGGTTCTGGACTAAGTGGTTGGGTTCTTACCCAGACCCTCGGACTCAAACAGGTAGGTCTCCTCGACACCGATGTGTCGGCACCAGGACAGGAAGTTGGCCGTGTTGTCACGAGCAAAGAAGGACCCGGGGGAGGCGTTGCACTTACACGAGACCTTCCTCAGAGGGAACAGCTGGGGGAGAGAAACGGGGGTCATCAACCTGAGGTTCACGGCCCGGTGACGGCCCGGTGACGGCCTCCGTTGACTCCTACCTTGCTGAGTGCAGCAGGACAGCTGTGGGACACCTTGGTCTGGAGGACACCAACCAGCTGACACAGTTTGACTCCATTGTTCAGCTCCTCCATGAAGAACTCCGCCCTCACCTCCTCTCCTGAAACACATGGACGAGAAGACGATGAAGACGATGAAGACGACGATGAAGACGAGCAGCTGCAGACAGACCAGGTTCTTGGTACAGACTGAGATAAACCAGAACATGTGTTGGACTTTGTCCACAGAGGCTGAAGAACCCAGGTCTGACCCGGTGAACGTGGTTCTGGAGCCAGGCTGAGACTGATGGGTTCAGTGCTGGTCCATCACAGTCATGGTCAGGAACCGAGGTCCAGGATTGTTGTCTGGACACAGTTCTTCAGGGTGTGTCCAGATGATGTTCTGCCCCCCACCCCCTCACCCCCCCAGTGTGAGTTAGCCCTTACCCAGCATGCCCGTGAGCCAAATGGCCAGATCCTCCTGCATGGGCACCAGCGTGGCCTCATGTCGGACCGCCAGCCACTGGTCGTACTGCAGGACGTCGGTGAGTCCAGGACCGTGTCGAGGTTCTAACCTGCTGCGGGGGCTCCAGGAGCTCAACACGGGACTGTGGAACTTCTCACCAAACCAAACCTGCTGATGAGGGAGGGGGGGGGGGGGGGGGAGGGGGGTCACGGCAGGTCAGTTGAGGTCACCTGCAGAACAACAACATAGAACCGGTCTGTGGTTCTGGAAGAGTTTCCTGCAGAACTAACGTCACATGAGACGTTTCATCAGGAAAAATCTGGACAATGAGAGCAGTGTAAAAACATGACCCCCCCACTGGACCATAATCCCCCCCACACTGGACCATAATCCCCCCCACACCGGACCATAATCCCAGCTCAGTCCGTGTCACCTGAACAGGAGAACCGATTGTTCTACTCAAGAACGTCTGTCAATAATCCAGTGAAAAAACCTGAGCTAGTCTACGTAGACTGTCTGAGGACTTTCTGACTGAGCCTGGAGTCTTAGGCCTGTAAGCAGATCTCATGTGACGTGACATGGTCGTCATGGTAACGCCTGTGTCACAGTGTGAGGAAAACAATCAGACAGAACAAAACATTTCCAGTTTCTTCAACCTGAAACATTAGAGATGAACCAGGACCAGGTCCAGGTCCAGGTCCAGGACCAGGACCAGGACCAGGACCAGGACCTGGACCAGGACCAGGACCAGGTCAACATAGACCACCACATATATTCATAGTCCAGTCTCCAAACTTCCCACGGTCTGAGTGTTTGACCTCTGACCCTTCACCCTGATAACTAAGAGCTGTTTGGTTTGTCCAGGCTGAACTAACAGGGTCACATGACTCGACTGAAGGAACGACAAGAAAAGAGCTCGTTTGTCACTCGCCCTCATCCGTCCGTCCGTCCGTGTGTGTGTGTGTGTGTGTGTGTCCAGATCAGAGACACATGTTCTAAACATCAGTGTCCAATCAGGGCGTGGCTGATCCAGCCCGACTGACAGCTGTGAAACCCGATCCACTTGTTTTGTTCTGATGGTCTGAACTGGGAGGAGACAGAACAACATTCCATCCTCTCCCCCAAGAAAAATGTGGAGAAGGAAACTCCTCAGGGTGTCACGCTGGAACGCCAGGCACGTGCTGGAACACAGGCGGACCAATCACAGCCGACGACCTGGGTCACATGTTTCATCTAAATAGATGAAAGTTCTCCCTGAGCAAATACCCTGACCGGCCTGAAGGGGGAGCTGTACCCCACAGTCCAGGTTATAATAAGATAATATTCCTGTTCATAAATGTCAGAGACACCAGAGGTCCCCAACCACCGGGCCGTGGACCCGTAACAGGCCGTGAGTTACTAATCCAACAAGAGTTCATGACCTTTGACCCCAAAATCACAGTCCATCCCCAGAGTGCAACTCACCTGGAAGTCTGTCTGGACAGACATGACTGTGGAGATGGAGTCACCTCTTCATCCTGTCAGAGAGACAGACAGACAGACAGACAGTCAGACAGACAGACAGTCAGACAGTCAGACAGACAGACAGTCAGACAGTCAGACAGACAGACAGTCAGACAGACAGTCAGACAGACAGTCAGACAGACAGACAGTCAAACAGTCAGACAGACAGACAGTCAGTCAGACAGACAGACAGTCAGTCAGTCAGTCAGACAGACAGACAGTCAGTCAGACAGACAGACAGTCAGACAGTCAGACAGACAGTCAGACAGTCAGACAGACAGACAGTCAGACAGTCAGACAGACAGTCAGACAGACAGACAGTCAGACAGACAGTCAGACAGAGAGACAGACAGACGGTCAGACAGACGGTCAGACAGACGGTCAGACAGACGGTCAGACAGACGGTCAGTCAGACAGACAGACAGACGGTCAGTCAGACAGACAGAGAGACAGACGGTCAGACAGAGAGACAGACGGTCAGTCAGAGAGACAGACAGACGGTCAGACAGAGAGACAGACAGACAGTCAGAGAGACAGACGGTCAGACAGACAGACGGTCAGTCAGAGAGACAGACAGTCAGACAGACAGTCAGTCAGACAGTCAGTCAGTCAGACAGACAGACAGACAGTCAGGCAGTCAGACAGTCAGTCAGTCAGACAGACAGACAGTCAGTCAGTCAGTCAGACAGACAGACAGTCAGTCAGACAGACAGACAGACAGACAGTGAGACAGTCAGACAGACAGTCAGACAGTCAGACAGACAGAGAGTCAGTCAGACAGTCAGTCAGACAGTCAGTCAGACAGACAGAGAGTCAGTCAGTCAGTCAGTCAGACAGACAGTCAGTCAAACAGACAGACAGTCAGACAGACAGTCAGAGAGACAGACAGACGGTCAGACAGACAGTCAGACAGTCAGACAGACAGTCAGACAGACAGGGAGTCAGACAGACAGTCAGTCAAACAGACAGACAGTCAGACAGACAGTCAGACAGACAGACAGAAAGACAGACGGTCAGTCAGAGAGACAGACAGTCAGACAGACAGTCAGTCAGACAGTCAGACAGACAGTCAGACAGTCAGACAGACAGACAGACAGTCAGTCAGAGAGACAGACGGTCAGACAGACAGACGGTCAGTCAGAGAGACAGACAGACAGACAGACAGTCAGACAGACGGTCAGACAGACAGTCAGACAGTCAGACAGACAGACAGACAGTCAGTCAGAGAGACAGACAGACGGTCAGACAGACGGTCAGACAGACGGTCAGACAGACGGTCAGACA